TCTTCATGCCTAGGATGCTAAGGCTTAGGTCCGCATCCATCAGGGACATAGATAGCTGAGGAAATGGACCTAGAATGATTTTAATACAAGGGAAGGGGGAAGTCTGGAGAACCCAGAGGAGAGATGAGAGGAGAAAAAAAGAAAGCGAAGGTCCAATGGGACAAGGAGTTTTTCTCCCTGACTGTGAGAGACGCCACCTGGACAGTGCATGCTGGTGAAAGAAATAGGAGGAACCTATGGAAGAGCTGCCCCCTGGGGTGACTGGCGCCAGAAATAAAGGACTCCTAGTATAACCTCTTGCCTCATAGTGTGTGATGCATGGGCTCATAGCTAGAGTGTTTGTGATAAGGGAATACACCCCACCCTTACACAATCAGGGTGACAGCTAGGATCTGCATAAATATTACAATTTAAAATAAACATTTCTAAGCTCCACAGACTTTTGGGTACCATATGTGGGTTTAAAGAAAACAAGGTAGTCTGTGATTTAAGAATTACCCCTTAAGATCATAAACTTCCATCCATCTGACCCTTAAATATGTTTTGTTGTCATACACAAGTTTTTAAAATGATACTGAGATTTTTTGGCTTTAAAAATGATTGGAGACTTGGGACCAGCAGATGGCATAATGGTTGTCACTGGATTCTCATATAGTTGACCATGCTTTGACTCCTGGACCCAGTGGCTTAAAACTCTCGCTGGACGCATATGCATATGTGCCCAAAAATCCCCAGAGAATGGGGGAGAAGGAATTGCGATGTGGACACACACACACACACACACACACACACATACATACACACACACACCCGCCATGAGGGGTGATTTCCTGCTTTCTGTCTCTATGATGAGTGCATGAGCCCTATAGCAAAGGTCTCTCTTTAAAAAAATGATTTGGAACTTAAAAAATTACTGAATGATCTACACATAGTAGGCCTTTTTTTGCTTTGCAAGACACAGATCTGGAGCTGGCTCCTTCCCTCCCTTTCTCCCATGCTCTTTCTTTCCTGAGTTGCAAAACTTTACTGAGCACCTGCTTTTACAAGTTCCAAGAGGAATGAGAGAGTGTAAGCCCAGTGTCCGATTATTCCAGCATGTATTTGTATGCTCAGGTTCTCCTTGCATTAGACTTGGCCAAAGGCCAAGATAAAATCCGGGACTTGGGTTAAATTCTGCATTCTCTGAGTCATCTTGCTTCTCAAATACTGTTAGTTTGGTTGTCCGTCAGAACTGTCAAATAATTTGTCTTCCAAACGGGCCATTCCGTATTTCATTCAGAACCCAGAGTGCTACATGGCTGTACCAGATAGTAAGCTGTTGTGTCCCCAGAAGACAGGAGAGGGAAGAAGGGTTCGTTCCTTCTACTTTGCTTGCAATTTCCTGCCAGCATTCCTACATGAATAGTACTCCTCCCGGGAACCAGCAGTTAGCGTAATGGCTATGCCGCTGGACTCCCACGTATTCGACCGCGGTTCGTGTCCCGGACCCGGTGGCTTAAAACTCACGCCGGGCGCGTGTGCGTGCGTGCCCAAGATCCCAAGAGGAGAATGGAGGAGAAGGGATTGCGGCGTGACCATCCCCCCTGGGGGGTGATTTCTCGCTTTCTGTCTCTATGTCTCTCTCTGTCTGTCTGGCGAGCGCACGCGCCCTACAGTGAAAAT